ATCTTTCCTGCACTAAGAGCTGTTATTAATTGTCTCGAAGGAGAACCTGGGTGGGTTTTGTTGTTTTTTTTTTTAAACCTAGATAATTAAAATTAAACCAAGTAATGACAATCTAGGAGACTGGGGGGTGGGGAGGGGGAAGTCCAATTCTCAATGTGTTTTTAACATCTAGACAGTAAAGAGGCCACAAAGTTCCTCAGCCTAAAACTAAGGCTGAAACCTAAAATAGAACCAGAAGATCATTTTGGTGACTCAACTAAACAATGGGGATTAGCCTTCTACATCCAGAGCTGTGATCGTCCAGGTTAGGAAGGTGATAGTTTAATCCAAAACACAGCATTTGGGCATTTCCTTACTTGTGTGACTCCTTTTGTGTCTGAACAATGGAAATTACTTGGGTAATGAGAAACGAAGCATTTTTTCACCTCTTCCCTGATAATCACTGACTTAACCCCCCTAAATGAATGCATTAACGCTTTACCTCCATCTTCCCCATATCTGTTTTACACTATTTCATGAAAGGCCAGGACTTGTTTGTCCTTCTTAATGTCGAGTGGTATTTTAGACCAGGAACCATTGAAATAATCAGGAATGTTCATAGTTTATGTCAGTATGACTTCATCGCTACTCTGTGATGAAGGGCAAAAGAACTTGGCTGCGGGAGAGGGGAAGCCCTGGCCTCAGGGCACTCACGCAGGCTGTATCTGGGGCTAAGCCCCCTCCCTTCTGAGAGCTCTTCCTCCCCTTAGGCACACGCACTCCATTTTTTGTGTTGATTCACTCTCCTGGTGTGTGTGAGTTAAATGTAAAGGGTTTTTACCTTTAAAATAATCTGTGAGATTTGGTAAGTGGAGATGCTAGGGAAGTTCTGGCTGAGCAGGAGTATTATTTATCGTATGTTCCCCTTGCTAGAAAATGCCCCTTTGTACTTGGGGTGCCAAAGAGGCACGTGAGGATTTTGGCAGAGAGGAAAGGTTTGACTTACCCAGGTGCTATCCCTGTCAGCGCGGTAGATTTACAAACCTGATGTCATCTATTTACATTTCTAAATTGCAGCATGGAGCGAAATGCAGCGATACGAAAGATTAGTCTTCATTTGGCGAAGTAACTGCCAAATTAAATGATGACAGATGGAAAAACTAAACGCCACGGTGTCAGGGATCCGGTGATAGCCCTCTGCTTTAGCAAGAGGTAAATATGTAAACCTCAGCTGGTGCCTGCAGAAGGTATGCGTCCAGTTTAAAGACCGTCCTCGGACTTTTTATTTAATCAATACCCCCTATCGAAGAGAGCAGCGTACGGCATTAGAACTAAAACAGCGTTATTAGAAAATGATATACTGCACATTAGGGTGTATAATTCATGTCGCCTTCATTTGCTCAGACCGTCGCGAAAATCCATAAATCATTTTCTCGTTCATGTATTGCCTAAGTGCAATTTGTCATTTCGCATTAGAGGGCTGCCTCAGATCATCGGCGCTTTTAATTCACTGCTCGGGCTTTAACACAACGCGGAGCCCGCGGAGGAGCCCACCGCTGCCTCCGGCCGCCTCTCACAAAATGGAGACCCGGGTGCGCTTGGAAACGCGGGGGCGGGGTGGGGGGGGG